TTTTTTTTTTTTTTGTTGAGTAAAATTTTTTAAATTCTTATACGTACAAAAAAATTCTCATACCATGTAAAAGATATCAAAAAAACTTGAAAACGTTTCCAGGAGGGAGAGGGTCTTCCTAAAAGGTGATCTATCATTTTTTTTTCCAAGGCTTATTTTTATTAGATCAATTTACACAATTTCTGTATAATTTAAAATGGGAGAATAAAAAAAAGATCACCCACCCATAATAATAAAAAATATCAGATGACTTTTGGAAATGGAAATTTCGAAAATTTCGAATATTCATAGATATTATTATTATGTTATCAAATATCCGCTTTTTTTTTTATTATAACTACAAATTTATCTAATCACAAAGTATTTTACCTTTTCCTTCTCATTTGGTTGAAGAATACCATGTACATGTATAATAAACGAGAGATGCAATATCTGGATGTTCAGAAGATACGTTCACCTTTATCTTACATATTCTATAACCATCATAATTTTCCAAATGAAGTTATCCTTAGTCTACCTTTGTTTATTTCAAATTTCCTTTTTTTATTTGAAGAATTACCACCACCATCATCAATTATTATTGTGCCGTTACTAATTGTCATTCGCCAAGAAAGATTTCAAATTAAAGTTCATTTAACAAACAAAATACAAAGAGATATAATATATTCATGTGAATGATTTAATATTATTGCAAATATTTATTATTATTATTATCATTATGAATAGTATATTTCAAATAACCAAAAAAATATTATAATCGTAAATATTCAAATATTCAAATATCACTTTTATTTATATGTAGAAAGCAACCTGGTAAGTCAACTTTATAATTTAACAACATCATTATCGTCGTCATCACCATCATCATCATCGTTTGTGAAAAGTGTGATGGAAAATGTGTGATTCGTAATTCAATCATCTTGATGTAGCTTTATTAAAAAAAGTGAATAAAGTAATAAATACATTTCAATTAATTTGACCGTTAAAGCCAATCTACACTACTTTAAACTGTACTTCCAATATTTGCAATCTTTATCCATTCTAAAGATTTGATTATTTTATCATTAGAAGTTTTAGGATTTCATCAAAAGTATTAGTTGCACCTAATGCAATTTCCAGTAGCATAGGATTATCCGCATGGCCCCTTTTTTTTTTTTTTTGTTCATAAAAAAAGCATATTCCAAATAGTAATATGTTTTTTTTAATATAATAATAGATATGTGAGACTCGATATACTTTGTTTGGTGAGTATTTTTCTTTCCCTCTAATCTACTTTAGAATTTTTATGGTTAATATATTGTATCTTAAAATAAATTATTAGAATATGTGATGAACGTAATTATGA